AAAATGTATCTGGATTTGAAAAAGGAGTACTGGTGGCCTTGCATGAAGAGAGACGTTGCCTGGTTCGTTGAGAGGTGTTTGACCTGCCGTAAAGTTAAGGCCGAGCACCAGAGACCGCACGGTAAGTTGCAACCCTTGGAGATCCCTGAGTGGAAGTGGGATCAGATCACGATGGATTTCAACCAAATTGCCGAAAACTGCCAGGGGAGTCGATGCGATTTGGGTGATTGTGGATAGGCTAACAAAGAGTGCACACTTCCTTGCCATTAGTGAAAGTTCATCAGCAGAGAAGTTGGCAGAGTTGTACGTGAGAGAGATAGTATCTCGGCATGGAGTGCCGACCTCGATTGTTTCGGATCGCGATGTACGTTTCACTTCCAAGTTCTGGAAGAAATTCCATGAGGAGTTGGGTACTAAGCTGCATTTTAGTACCGCATACCATCCCCAGACCGACGGTCAGAGCGAGCGGACGATTCAGACATTGGAAGACATGCTTAGAGCGTGTGTGTTAGACTTCGGGGGTAGCTGGGATGCGCATCTGCCGTTGGCTGAGTTTTCCTACAACAATAGCCATCATTCGAGCATTGGTATGCCACCTTTTGAGTTGTTGTATGGTAGGAGGTGTCGGACTCCCATTTGCTGGGGAGAAGTGGGACAGAGAGTGATGGGCAGTACAGAAATTGTACTTCAGACGACCGAGCAGATTTAGCGTGTGAGGCAGAGGTTATTGACCGCCCAGAGCCGACAGAAGAGTTATGCGGACAGACGCCGATCCGAGCTCGAATTCCAGGTTGGCGACTTCGTTCTCCTAAAGGTTTCTCCTTGGAAAGGGGTAATTCGGTTCAGGAAGAGGGGCAAATTGGGGCCCCGGTTCATAGGTCCATTTCGGGTAATTGCAAGGGTAGGTCGGGTAGCTTATCGGTTGGAGTTGCCAGCAGAGCTGAGTCAGATTCACAATACCTTCCACGTGTCGCAGTTGAGGAAGTGTATAGCCGATGAGGCAGCAGTGGTTCCGTTAGAAGATATTCAGGTGGATGCGAGCCTGAATTACGCCGAGAGACCAGTAGCTATCAGGGATCGGAAGATCAAGGTTCTACGGAACAAGGAGATACCTCTGGTGTTGGTTCAGTGGCAACATCGGAAAGGATCGGAGATGACTTGGGAGCCGGAAAGAGAAATGCGGGAGCAACATCCGGAGTTATTCGCAGAATGAGAGACTTCGAGGGCGAAGTCTAGTTCTAGTGGGGGAGAGTTGTAACAGCCCGGAATTTCAGGTAATTCTTTAAATTATTTTTGGGCACATTTAAGAGGGGACTCGGCGAGTAGGTGCATGACTCGCCGAGTAGGGCCATGGTCTTGGTTGCAGTCGCAGATACGCGACTGGACTCGACGAGTCCAAATAGGGACTCGGCGAGTCGACGCTGTTTCAGCTGAACCCTAGCCGTTTCATTTCTGATCGTATATAACGATCTTATGGCCGTCATGTCGCGTCTTTTGGCCGATTGAAGATACCCTGGGAGTGTGTGAGCATCTGAAGCAAGAGAGAGGACTTGAGGAGGCTTGAAGAGATTGTTAGACAAGGAGGAGCAAGGTGGTGATCAAAGGAATCGAGTACTGGAGGTTTGGAGACACAGGGAACACGTTTCCAGGTAATCTTCGGATCGAAATCTGTAACTTTTACGTTGTATGCGAGTTTAGGGTTTAGGAAACCCATTTAAGGATTTGTTAGATTATATTGTTGTTATAAGTGTTTAAAAATCCCTGTAATAGTATATGTGAAAGTTCAGGAAGCCCCATATCTATATACTTCAAAATCATGCGAAATACAGGAGGCAGCGGATTGACTGCATGGCGAGGACTCGACGAGTCCAATGATCAGACTCGGCGAGTAGCTTGAAGGTTCACTAGGGCTCGCCGAGTTGTTCTTCAGACTCGGCGAGTAGCTTGAAGATCTACTGGAACTCGTCGAGTCGTTCTTCAGACTCGGCGAGTGGTGTCAGGGTGTCTATACTCGTCGAGTTACCCTTTGCACTCGACGAGTCCGGTCAAGATTGACCGTTGACCTGTATATAACTTAGTAGGGTCAGTTGTCTTGTTTGATAAGATCATTAACAAAGGATGTGGTATTATAGGGAACCTGCGGATTAGCGGATTGTGTGCGAGTAGCTCGAAGGGTTTGTAGCTTGCATACTACGAGGTGAGTCTTCTCACTATACTTCACCCGGAAGGGTTTGACTGTGAGACCGGAAGGTCATATGTGTTATATTCATGCTATGTCTAGAGAGGTAGATGCTTTATATGTGATGTATGCTTATATGTGATGTATGCTTATACGGGCCGGAAGGCGAGATTGTATGTGATAGAAAGGACGGTATGATGTATGACTTATGTGCTATGTGTATTATGTTACATGTGTTATGTTTTATACTATCATGGGCCGGAAGGCAAAATACTATGGGCCGGAAGGCAATTTAATATGGGCCGGAAGGCGATATATATTATGGGCCGGAAGGCGATTATGTTACGGGCCGGAAGGCAATGTTATGTGGACCGAAAGGTCCGGGCCGGAAGGCGTATGTGGGTAAGTCGTATACTGGGGAACTCACTAAGCATTTATGCTTAATAGTTGTGTTTATGTTTTTTTTTCAGGTACTAGTGATGACCGTGGAAAGGCGCCGGCGTGACACGTACACACTGCCACTGTTGAAGATCCTGGAGATTTATTTGTTATATTTTTGAAATAAACTTGGAATAAACCCTTTTGTCGAATAATGATGTTTTGTTTTAAATGAAAAATTTATTTGAAAATTTGAGCTGTTACACGTGTTTTCATCATCAAAAGAGAGTTCAAGTGAAGCACATACAAGCCGACACATATATGATTATGTGGAATCTTGCATTCAACAAGTTGGTCTCGAGCATGTTGTTCAAGTTGTGACCGATAATGCCACGAATAACATGGGAGCGGCGAAGTTACTAAAAGAAAAAAGACTGACTATTTTTTGGTCATCGTGTGCGACACACACCATTAACCTCATGCTCGAAGGTATTTATGTTTTCTTTCTTATATTATTTACTTAGTATTTTAGTTTTAACATGGTTTATTTTATAATATAATTCATTAATTTGTTATTCAATCGTGTTTATTTCTTGAAGGTATTGGTGGACTTCCAAGGTTTAAGAATGCCCTAGATCAAGAAAAGAAACTAACCATATTCATTTATGCTCACACCAAAACCTTGGCTATGATGAGAAACTACACCAAGAAAAGGGAAATTATTCGATCGGGAGTCACGAGATTTGCTTCCGCCTTTCTAACATTACAAAGCTTATTTGAAAAAAAGGAGCAGCTAAAACATATGTTTTCTAGCACCGAATGGGAGGAGTGTAAATTTTCTGGTATGCCTAAAGGAAGAGCCTCATATGGGACGGTGACAAGTCTCCAATTTTGGGCTGGTGTGACACAATGTTTAAAAGTGCTTTCCCCTTTGGTTAAAGTCATCCGAATGGTTGATGCGGATTGGAAGCCCTCAATGGGTTTTGTTTACGAGGATATTAAAGTAGCAAAAGAAGAAATTATGAAAGCTTTGGGTGGTCAAGAGAAAGCTTACAAGTCTATTATAGATATCATAACCAACAAGATGAAAGGTCGGCTAGATTCAAAATTACATCTGACGACTTATGTTTTGAATCCTTATTATCATTATAAGGATTCACAACTTCAACATGATCCCGACATAATGGATGCGGTTCTTGAATTTTTTGATACATTACTTTTTTGGAGATTTAGAGATGCAAAGACAAGTCGTGACTATTGACTTGCCAAAGTACAAGGAAAAGGTTGATAGATTTGGAGTGGAGCTTGGATATAAATCTTGTATGGTGAACAATGCCGACTTTGATCCGGGTAATTTGTTTCTACTTTTATTTGCTTATTTTATAAAATGGTAAAATTTTATATTTGTTAATTTAATAATGTGTTTTTGTTTCAAAATTATAGCAAGATGGTGGGGACTTTTTGGTGGCTCGACTCCTCATTTAACAAAGATTGCAATGAAATTCTTTCTTTAACTAGTAGTTCATCGGGGTGTGAAAGGAATTGGAGCACGTTTGAAGTGGTTAGTTATAAAGTTATAAACTTTAATTCTTTAAATATGAAAAATGTTTTTAACCATTTTTTGTGTGTACCTTTATAGGTACATACAAAGAAACGAAATAGATTGGAGACAAGTAGATTGAACAATCTTGTTAATGTTCAATTCAATGCAAATTTAACGGAAAAAAACAAAAAGAGAAAAAATAGGACTTTGGAAGTGCTTTTAGCAAATGATTCTCACTCGGCTCAAGAAGGGATTGTTGATTGTAGTGATCGTGATGTAGATGAAGTCGACCCCGAATCAAATATGGAATCGATTGGTGAAGCTCTCGGGACTAATGATAATCAAGTATCCCATCAAAATTCAACAACTAGGGAACTTTTTGATGAAGATTTCGAGTCCGAGAGTGAGGAACAAGTGTTTGAAGAAGGTGAATATGAGTCGGATGGAGTTCAAATATTAGAAGAAGTCGGAGGAGATTAGAAGAAGATGAACATTTAAATCAATGAAAATGTGTTTTTTTGGGATTATTAAACTCGTTATGGTCTTGCAGTATGATGGTCTATTACTTAAATGTTTTTTTTAATGACATTAATTAAATGTTTAATTAATAATAATAATAATAATAATAATAATAATAATTAAGGTTCTCCGATTAATCGGCGATTAATCCCCGCCAACACCGATTAATCGCTTGGCACCAGTCAACTGCCGAGCGTCCGCCGAGCATTTTTTACAACCTTGATTGTCACCTTACCCTTCTCCTTGGCATCTATAACATAGGTGATGTACCCTGCATAACCCTGCTGAACGTAGCGTCTCGCTCTCACCGCTGAACAAAGGACTGGTCCGCGTTGTGGCCTCTCGCCCTGAATCACTAACTCTCCCCCACCGGGAGTGCAAACCCTTAATAACTACAACTCCCAATCAATCACTGCCCCATTGGGGATCAACCAATCCATACCACTATAACCTTATTCCCTCGCAAGGGAATAGGAACCAGGTCTACTAAAAACTGTTCATCAAATAACTACAACGAACATTCTCTATGTACTCTCGCGACCCTGACGGTCCTGTCATCCGCTATCTTAACCTCAAGTGGACAATCCAGCTCCCTCGGAGCCCTGCTAAACCTCTTGCTAAGCGCAAGAGAAAAAAATGATTGGGTAGTCCCCGAGTCAAACAATATTCTAGCTGAAATGCCGTTCACTAAGAACGACCCTATACGAAAACATATAACCATGAGAAACAACCAATATCAATAAAAAGATAAGAGGAAAAATACATACCTGTCACCACATCATGAATTGCTCGTGCCTCCTCTGCTGTCATTTGAAAAGCTCTACTCTTCACCACTGGTGCCTCACCCCGGCCCTGACGGCCGTCTGTAATACTCAATGTAGTAGGGGCAGGTGCCGCCACCTTCCCTGTTGTTGACAAACTTGGACACTGGGACTTTTTATGTCCCCTCTGATTGAAATGGAAGCAAGTCAGACCAGATGTTGTGGTGGTAGTGGGAGTAGCTGTACAATCTCTGTTTATATTCTCGGTCCGTCCACACTTGTAGCAACCGGGACTCCCTCCCTTGCACACCCCATCGTGAAATCTCCCACACTTTCCATGCCGACTGTGGCTCTGCTATCCTCTAGATCTGTGATCTGATACCTTGGGTTTTTTGCCCGAACTCCCTGTACCAGATGCTGCCTTTGGCTTCCTCTTCTTCTCCATTTCCAAATCTATCTCTCTCTCACGAGCCATAACAATCACATCATCCAACGTTTTACAGCTGGACTGGCTCACAAATTGGTGGCTATCACTCCCTAACATCTCATGATAACGGGCCTTCTTCATTTCCTCTTCAACTACGTACTGAGGAACGAGAAGTGCCCTCTCCTTGAACTTGGCGGTAATCTCCACCACTGTCTCTGTAGTATGAGTGAGATCCCCAAACCCCTAGCTAACTACTGCACCTCAATAACTGGTGCAAACTTGGATATGAACCTAGTAGTAAAATCAGCCCAGGTCATCACATCAAGTGCTGCATCATCCCTAATGACATGCCCTATCTCCTCCCACCAATCTCATGCCCTGTCCTTCAGATGACAGGATGCTAGTCTGACCTTGTCCCCCTCGGGACATCTGATGGCGCGGAAATCGTTGACGACATCAGCTAACCACCTAGTACTCGCTATGGGGTCTCACGCCCCATGGTAGTCTGGAGCTCCACAAGCCCAGAACTCCATGAAGGTGAGTGTGCGCGACCCTATCATGGCCGCCACCTCAGCACGGAATATGCTCAACCTCTCGTCCATCAGCTCTAGAATACCCTCCTTGATCGAAATGAAGATCATAGGAGTCTGCTCAAGTATGGTGCGAGTAACCTCTGAGGTAAGGAACTCTTTGCTTTGCTCAGCTAGATCCTCGGCCCCCGAGCCTGATCATCATCCCTCGCCGGCTCCTGAACTGCCGACTGTTGGCCTAGGGCGTAAAACCACCATTCTGAAAACACATCATGATAAACGTCAGAAACACTGATATATATCGAGGGATCGCTACTACTACAAGTTTCCTGGTCTCATCTCAGCCTTCCTCGATTCAAGTACGAATCCTCTCCTTTCAGTAGTACAGGCCCATACTACCTTCCACATCTATCCGTACTTTCCTCAAAAGTGCCTTGACATCCACCAAGTTACTTCTACTGCTACTGATCTCTGATACTCTCATCCTAGGCTTTCCCTAGGGAGATCTTTGACTCCAACCAAACCAATCCTTAGCTGCCGAGGGCCTCCTTGTAATGCCAATTAGCCATCACCTGAATACCATCACATGTGACGAGGCTCAAATAATCCTTCGAGTAAAAGACTCCTCCCTACAATGGTTAGACTCAGACGAGAGCAACACAATAGGGCCAAAACCAACACTTTGAGATTATTCAACCCTGATCACATGTGACGTGATGTATTCATCTAATGGCTAACTCCCATCACCCAGAGTCCCACAAGGCACAAAGCAAGCAACACTTGGACATAGGAAACTACTCAAGCAAATCTATCCTCATAATGAGAAACTGTACTAGCATACAATGTTGAGCTCATACTATTAGGCATAACCTAAACATGCTATCCTACTACTGTCTACTCAATACTAGCATGCAATTATCATAAAGTTGGAACACATATAGCAGGCACATAAGGCATCCTCCTAGATCAATATTCCTATTCTAGCATGTTGTTCTACTTAAACTGAAACTAATAATCATAACATAAACTTGCATGGGTAATTTGGGAGTACTTACTTGAGCTCGGCTGATTGCATGTACCACACCCTTTTTCTCTTTTTCAAAAACTCTTTTCTTTTTAAGTTTTTTTCTCAAAAGTTTCTTCCGAAAATGTTTTTATTTTTGAAAAGCTTAAGGATTTTTGGTTTAGCTGAGAGAGCCCAATAAAGATTTTTGATCCATCAGGGCCCATATATGGTTTTTCGGCCCAAAAAGATTAAGTGAAAGAGTTTTCGGCCCAAAATTATTCCTAATAAAGGCATTTGTCCCATTAAGCATTAAATAAATTTTCACAGCCCAATAAGGTTCTTACGATCCAAAACTATGTTAATTTAGAATTTTCGGCCCAACTATGGCTCAAATATGGGTTCTCGGTCCATAATAAGGTTAACTAGGGCTTTTGGCCGAAGAAGGCCCTATAAGAAGGCCTTGGTCCATTAGGAGGTTTGAACCGAGAAGTCAGGGTTAATACCACAAAGTTGAGTGATCATAGCTTATTGGGTTAGATTTTGGGCTTACAAGAGCAAGTTTTGACATGAATCACAATTTTGGATGTATAAACCTATATAACACTGATGCTAATTTATACTACATGTAGTCTTACATAGATACACAAAGGAACTATCTTGCACATGGATAGGAAACCTAGCCCTAAAATGCTAGTTCTGACAAAAGAGGCCACTAAACATCTAGATGTACAAACTTTAGCATCTCAAATGGTCTTGACACATCATGACCTTCCAACAGTGACCAAAAAGACCAAAACAAGCTCAAGAGGAGATATAAACAATAGATGAGCAAGGTATGGACTTTATACCCCCCCCCTAAGATGAAGGAGATGTTGGATCTAGAAGCTCTACTACGTTCAAGGAATGCACCACAAACTCTTATCATTGAAAACACATTGAAAACTGGCTTCCTTTTGACTCTCCAAGCTCAAACTCACTTCCAATGGCAATTAGGGTTTCTAGGGACATTGAGAGACAATGGGAGTCGATGCAAATGAGGTCCAATGCTTATAAGAGGGTTTAAATGCGACACAAGACCACATATTAAGGGTTTCTAATCTAGGCCACGTACGCCCTGCATACCTCCTTGTATGCCCCGAGCACGAGGCTCCAATGTTCGATGACGTGTGCCCTCATACGCTTAGCGTACATGTGAGTACACCCATCATATAAGGGGATGGTCCTTTGCTAAAACTCAATAATAAAAATAAAGCAAAATTACCTGGATTTTTGGATGTTTCAATGTTACACATAGTTTATTGAGAAATCTCACATGGATCTGAGAAAAATCACACACTCGCGTCCTCGAAGGAATTAGCTACACAAACAATCTAAAATCACATTAGGTGCAACTCAACGACCGATATAAATTGGAGGCAAGCCCATAGTCAAAAACCTTTAATCCACGAACATTTAACCAAAATTCAAACTGATCAAAAAGTCAATGGTCAACTAGTCAAAGTCAATGGACCAACACGCCACGACCCAATAACTGGTCGCGTCGCAATCCTTGCATTGCAACCCCTCCTTGATCGTGTCGCGCTTTTTGGGGAAGAAACATCATTTTTGTTAAACATTTAATCTCTTAAGACAAAGGTACAAACTTTACAGAACCTATCTAAATATGATCTTAATGGATAAACTTCCAACTTATCCAAATCCATGACCCATACATAGAGATTTCGAAATCTTGATCCAATATGAGCCTTAAATGGCTTGAAGCTTCTTTCATGTCTTGAAGATGTTTTGTTCATACTCTCTTCTTACCAATAAGTGTCCAAAAATGGCCATAAAAAACAACCTTAAGTTGGAGTTTTCCTAAACTCCAAGTAATAACTAGGAATGAGACCAAAATGCACATTATTACTCAAACACTCTATATCTAAATAGGGAAAACATAAAACTTGGAGATTTATACTTACAATGATAGAACAAAGTAATGAGAATGCGAAAACTTCCTTAGAACAAGATTCCACTAACACCATGCAAGCTTCTTCTTCAACAAAACACGCCAAATAGCTCCAAACTTCAAGAAAACAAGGCAATGGAGGCTAGGGTATCTCTTTGAGTGTGGAGACTCATAGAAGGGGAAACCATAGATGTTAGCTCCTTTAAATAGGCTCCAAATCTCAAAAATATGGTTTTTGTGCAAACAACGGTGTCCTGTTGTGACCTATACAAGGTCGCATCACGCTTAA